GGAGCAGTATTGCAATCCCTCATATTATATTTCTCCAATAACTACTCAATTTTTCTCTTTTGACTGAGAATATAACCACCTTTTTCATTTTTCTGTATCTCTACACCAAGATAATTTTTTATTTCTCCCAAATTCTTTAATTCAAATTTCTTTCCTAATTTATCAGCAAATTCTTTGACTTGTGATGCATCCTTTGCGATGAAGCAAAGATCATCCACAAATGATAACAGTAGACAATTCCCTCCTTGTAACTGTCCAGTATATATACAGTTATCAGCTTTGCAACTTTTAAATCCAAGATCCTTTAAAGCAGTATCTAAACAGATATTCCAGTTTCTGGCTGACTGCTTCAGCCCATAAATAGCCTTTTTTAATTTATATACGATGTTAGGTTTTGCAATTTCATATCCTGGTGTTTGGATCATATAAATTTCTTCCTCTAACTCAGCATTGAGGAATGCAGTTGTGATATCAAAGTGCCAGATTTTATGCTTATATGCCGCTGCCAACGCCAGTGCTAATCTTATATTCTCACTTTTCACAGTTGGCGCAAATACTTCATCGTAGTGCACATTCTTTAATTGTGAAAAACCTTGTGCCACTAACCTGGCCTTATACTGTATATCATTATTTGGCAATACCTTTTTCTTATATACCCACTTACAACCCACAGCTTTGGTTCCCTGTGGCAAAGTCACTGATTTAAATACTTCATGGTCTCCCATGGATTTCATCTCTTTATCCATGGCCTCCTTCCATTTTTCTTGTTCAGCTTTTGGTAATGCCAACACCTCTTTATAACTTCTTGGCTCATACCACACATTGCAAACCTTTACCTTGCTAGCAGAATACCTGTCAGGCGGAATTCCTTTATTACATCGCTCTGACCTACGTGGTATTAACTGCTCCTGTGTCTCAAGTCCTTCTGGCTTCATGTCTTGTTCAGCCTTTCCTCCCTGAACATGGACATCTTCAATAATGATTTTTTTTCATTAGATGAATTATTGTCACTAAGCAGATCACCGTCATTAAGTGAGACATACCCAGAATTTGCATTAATTCTGTCCCAATTTTGTTCTGCAAAATTAGCAGACCTTGAAATTATAATTCTTTTACTTCCATCGCTAAAGCGATATCCTTTTGACCCTGGCTCATAGCCCACAAACCTGAGCTTTCTTGCCTTTTGCTGTCCCTTTCTTCTGATTGCTTTTGGAATATGTACCCATGCAGTACTTCCAAAAATTCTCAAATGTGCCAGTGATGGCTTTCTCCCATATAGAATGGCATATGGAGTATTATTAATGGAGGAACTCCACAGCCTGTTAACTATATAATTGGCAGTCAATATGGCTTCTCCCCAATATGACCTGCTCATACCAGAATCCTCTAACAATGAAACTTTCATTGTTTGCAAAACACCATTCCTTCTTTCAGCTACACCGTTCTCTGCTGCTGTGTAAGGATTTGTATGTCTGCGTCTTATCCCCAACTGCCCCAACCATTGTTGGAATTTAGTTGACATAAATTCAGTACCTCTGTCAGTTTGCAACTGACACACTTGTTGTCTATACCTTCTCTCTACAAAACTTACCCACTGTTTGAATTGTTGTAGCACCTCTGTCTTTGCTCTAAGCAAATAGCAAAATGAATACCTGCTATAATCATCAACAATTACCAGTGCATATTTTGTTCCTCCCAAACTGGCTTGCATAGGTCCCACCAGATCTGCATGAACCAGCTCTAGAACTCTTTTTGTTTGTCTTGTGCTACATTTACTAACTGGGAATGCCTTTGACTTCGATGCTTTGCATACTGCACAGTCCAAATATGTTTTGCATCCCTTTAAATTTAGCCCTTCTGCAAATTCTTGCATTTGCTGCAAAACTTTAAAGCTTGCATGGCCAAGTCTTCTTTGTAGAAGATGAACACATGAATCATGCTCTGCAACATTCTTAAATATATGGGAACATTGAACCTTTTGTCCTTGCAATACATATAGATTATCTTCCTTTATGCCTTCTGCACAAATATTCCCATTCCTTTTGATGAGACATTTCCCATTTACAAAAATGACCTCAAAACCTTGTTTGTCTAAATTAAACACACTTAACAAATTATGTTCCATCTCAGGTACACAAAGCACATTGGTAAACTTTGATTCCAAATATGGAATTTTTACATTGCCTCTTCCAATTGCTTTTGCTTTCTGGCCATTTGCCAAAGCCACAGCTTCTTGTGCTACTGGAACAAACCTGCAAAATAATTTAGAATCATTAACAATTGTTTGACTTGCCCCACTATCTATTAGCCACTTGTCTCTGTTGTTGCTATTGCAAACTTTTGCAACACTAAAATGTTCCTTTTGCAAATCAGTCCTTTTTTCTTGCACAAATGTCTTTTTCTGCAAATTGTAGCAAGTCTTTTCCTGCTGAGCAGCTCTCTGCTTGCAAAATCTCTCCTTTGTTGCAATTTGGTCCGGGTCTGATCTGCTTGTTTCTTCTCCTCTGGAGACTTGCAGTCTGGACCCCCTCCTCAGGAATTTCTCCTTGTGGCTGCTTCTAAAATGGCATTTTTCTTCTTCATTAAGCAAACATGCCTTTAAAGCCTCAAACTTTAAGCCTTGCTCTTCTTTGCATTCAAATATTGCAGAAACTGTGTCCCAGGTTTTATCTAAACTGTTCAACACCAATAAAACCTTCTGGGACTCAGGGAATTTAATCCCACTTTGTTCTAAGTCCAAAAATAAACTTTGCATTTTATTTAAATGCTGTTCCATAGATTCACCTGGTTGCAAACAGGCTCTGTAAAGATTTCTTGACAATTGCAGTATATTGCATGCAGACACATTCACGTGCACAGCTCTCAATTTCAACCAAATCTCCTTTGCAGTCTTTAAATTTGCACATTTAGAAATTGTTCATCACCTAAATTCAAGATGAGATAAGCCCTTGCTTGATCATGGCTTTTCTGATGAGCAGCTGCAAATACTTGTGGTGGATTTTCAACAATATACCACAGCTCTTTTGCTTTGAGCAAACATTCCATTTTAGCAGCCCACACAATGTAATTCTTCTGGCCCAAACGAGGCACACAGCTTTCCTTAAATTCCATTGCAGCCATTTTGCTAATTCTGCCTTGTTTTTACACTTTCTAAACACAGGCAATTTCTTCCAGCTTTAAATTACAATGCAGTCTTTAGTAAGCTCTGGGCCCATAACCTGTTAGAAAATTTTAATTTCTCTATTGGTGAAAAATAAATCAGAAGCTCTCACAGTTGACTGCATTTAGCTGATTCAAACAACTTTATATTTATATAAAAATATTTACAGTATCATTCTTCTTTACAGCAACATAGCTTAATTGAAGAGTTCTTACAGAGACAGACCAGAGACAAACTTTGAGACTGGAAATCCAGCTCCTAACTCAATACTCTTTTTGCACAGGCTCAGTAGCACTTTCTTCACATTGGCTGACTGAGTTACCACGTGACTCTTCCTGTTTATGAATATTCCAACAAACTGAAAGTTTCAAGATCAAATGTTTCATCTTTGAATCTGTTTGCACACTTCTTAGATTGATGGAGTTTCTGTGTGCTGGAGATTTCCAAATGTTATTTTAACTTCGATATAATGTAGCTGAAACAAGAGTTTTTCAGGCAGGGTTAGCTATATTCTAATAATACACTACACTGCTTTTTCTTAACTTCTGGATCTGGAGATTATGACCTGAACCTGTGCCTGGATCCACTGAAGTAATAGATGGGAGTCAGTGAAGTAATAGATGGCAGTCAAGAAAGTGAGATGGAATTCAGGAAAAACCTTATGGGTAGATGATTTCTAGTATGGGAAGAGAATGTTACCTGTTTAGAATAGAATAGAATAGAATAGAATAGAATAGAATAGAATAGAATAGAATAGAATAGAATAGAATAGAATAGAGCTAGAAGGGACCTTGGAGGTCTTCTAGTCCAGCCCCTGCTCAAGCAGGAGAACCTATACCAGTGCTGGTGAACTTATGGCACACGTGTCAGAGGTGGCACTCAGAGCCCTCTCTATGGGCACGCATGCCGTCGCCCCAGCCCCGCCTTCCCCTACGGCCCCCTCCTCACCAGCAGTCCCCCCCGGAGAAGAGTCGCCCCCGGGCATGGCCAACATGGAGCAGTGCAGCCAAGGATATGGCAGCCGGGCACAGCAGGGACAAGACTCAGGAGTCATGAAGGGTCTAGACAGATTCTCCTCCCTCAGCCATGGAAGCTGCCTAAGTGACTTTAGACCAGTCCAAATCTCTTGGGCCAACTTACCTCACTGGGTTATCAATCTTGGAAAAAAATAGGAAGTGGAAAAACTGCCTATGTCATCTTGAATTCCTAAATGAGAGATAAGATAGAAATCTAATGTATAAATAATTATTCATTAACATTATTTTATATTGATTTAGCTTTCATTACTATATTTTATACTTGGTAAACAAATCTCAAATGTAATTGCATTGGAAGCAATATAACTTTTTTTTTTTACAATCCTGTAATTCCTTAGTTCAGGATAGAGTCAGGATGACTGGATAGAGTTGAGCATTTACTTCTTGGATGCCCTTCCTGATGCCACACACAGTTTGCAGTGGATATTTTTTTATTTGTGCTCTAGGAGAGAAACATCTGCCACTATCTAGGATTCAATTCTCAACCTTCCGAGTGGGAGGCGTCTTCACCACTAGGCCACCATGCTGCTTGAAAACAATATAATAATATGGTTAATAAAATATTAGATTTTTCTAGGCAGTTTTAGTTCCTCCTATGATTATCATCAAAGTACACATTTAAAAATGACTTTGAAAAGCATCACCAAATTTGTGATGTGGAAGATAAACTTTTCTCTACAGTTGAAGCATGACATATGCAGTTACTTGTAAAAATGGAAATCACAAAACTGAAAAAGGGGTATGATATTTCTTTTTCTTTTGAAGAGCACTAACTCTAACACTTTCGATTTGTTCTCTTCTAGGATCGAAACAGAATGTATGACACTTTGAATATGCACTCACTGGAAAATTCCCTTATTGACATAATGAGAGCTGAGCATGATCCACTTAAAGGTATATAGGCTAATGCCTCAATTTAGAGCACATTCATACTGCAATGTTTGAAAATCAATTTAAAAGTTTAACATGCACATATTAAATAAAGGAACTGTGGCCAGAGTTTATTGTAAGATTCTCACTAGAAAAAATTGTGTTGGAACCTTTGTTCCCAATACCACAGAGAAAAGTGGACATTCGTACTAGGAAACTCTGCAGTCAATTCAAATCACTTTTCATACAAGAAGAATTGGGAGTGAATTGTTTTGCTTAGAACAGTGGTTCTCAACCTTTTTAATGCCGCGACCCCCAACCGGTCGTAAGTCGAGGACTACTCAACTGGTGCAGCACTGTTTGCAGAATGGGACTTTTGGTGGGCTCAGCAGGGCAAAGACAGCCTGGACAATTCCTGTTGGCTTTTGAAAACCAATAGAATTAGACTCTATTTAAGAGAGTCTATTCTATTGGCTTTCAAAAGTCAATAGAATAAAAGGGAGTAGCACAGCTAAGGAAAAGGGGAAAAAAATGGCGGACTACATTGTTTGGCGACCCCCGTGAAATGGTCGTTCAACCCCAAATGGGGTCCCGACCCACAGGTTGAGAACCACTGGCTTAGAAAGTGATAAATTGAGAGTCATTATTTCACTAAAGCTGCTGGCCCCTGTAGCAAAATGTTTCCAGGAATCTTCATAATACTGCATTGCTTTTTTTCTGACTACGTTTACATTTTGTAAAGCTAGCCATTTCCTTGTAAGTATTGAGCCCTCCTTTCAACTGAACCCTAACTCTTTTGTAAGTTGACAAGCTTCCCTCCAATTGAGGCTACAATTTAACCATACAACACATAAGAACAGATTTAAACAGAAGTAAGCAGAATTAGTCACAAAACAAAAAAGTTATCCTGATGACATACTTTATACATTACTAAAACAAGATTGCCAAAAAGCTAAAACTTCCTAGAAGTAAATTCATGAGCTTTCACTCTACTCTCAGATATTTATTTATTAACATTGCATGAAGCATAATGCTTCCAAGGTTGCATGCTTATTAAATACCAAATATTGCATAACACCTTCCTCTTTTGTTAATTTTTAGTGCTGTGGCAATCCTATCTAATACATACCTTCTAATAAATAGTTTAGCAGGATCCTACCTCTATTAAATTAGAGCCTGAAACCCATCTGTTAGGGAAGAAGCTTTGTTGAGGTTAATGGGCCATAGTTCTGAACAAATGTTTACATAATTGTGCTATTAACTTTACTCAAATTAGGCTTTTAAAGAAGAGGAGGTTCATTAACTTGTAAAAACATTGATCCACTATGGATTTTTAGTTCCAATAAGGATACATGTTTGCTATATTTATTTACTTATTTATATCTTGCCTTTATTATTTTTACAACTTACATATCTTTAATATATACTTTAAATTGGGCAAACCTGATTTCTTGTTATTAGCTTTTCATTTTTTTATGGTTTTCTTTGGATTTAGACTAACAGCAGAACATAATGTTAGTGCTGAAAAATAACAGCTTATGTCTTTACCTTATTTTCTATTAGTTAAAGCTGTAATATGTGCACTATCAGTTGAGAATGTCACTATATATTAGTGGCGTCAGGAATCAAAAATGTATTGTTTTTACTGGATCCATTAGCAGCAGTTTAATTTTTTATCTGATCCAATGCCTAATACATTTGGAAAGTTACATTTATTCTCAATGATTAGAATAACTTATTTGATGTGAAAATCACTACCGGAGAACTCATCAGCATCTTAATAATTAAGAAAATCAAACCAGGGCTCCAAGCCATGTGCATAAACCTGGAATGAGTAGTGCAGAGGTTTATTGGACTATCTTGTCCATCTCCAATTCATTTTTATAGGGCTTGTGCAGAAAAAATCCTAGAAATTGTGTCATGTTAGTTTTCACTACACCTTCTGGTCTCCATAAATGCAATGGATGGAATTGTCTGCTGCTGTTCTGTCTAGTTTACATATGTACTGAAGCTATATTTGCCAATGTTTAGGATTAAGGTTTGGAATTCAGAATTTGCCCATTTTGATATTTTTCTTTGTGTTGCATTGGAGTGCAACGTGGCAAATGCTTGCTTGATCAAAAAACTAAAAGCAAAGCAGACACTGACTTGGTCTCTTGTTTGATAATCTGAAATAAAGATGAGAGCTGCATTTCATTGAGCTTAATTCGGTAATTTCACTGTCTAATTTACAGGTTACAATATTGCAAGTCATAGTCTCAAGAGATGCTCCTTTAAAGGAGTGTAACTATAAAATAAATAAACTATAAAAGACTATAATTTGTTAAGTAGTCTTAAAATAAAGAGGATTACTTTTGTGGTTTTGAAAATGCCTGTTTAAGATTATTTAATGCATTCTGTTGACATAAAACTAATACACCCAGGAGTTTTTGATATTGGTAGTAATTTTGAAGATAGAATAACCTTACTAAAAGCTGAGGTATATTGTTATGTATGTGAGGATTATAAAGGATTTAGTTTTAAAAAGGTAGTCTTCATATTGTGAACAAAGTAACTATTGTACATTATTTGGAACATAAGTATATTGAATGAAGTATAAAATATTTTGCTATACAATTCTAAATATTACAGCTAAATGAATAGGACTTTTTAAATCTTAGCATCTGCTAATCTAACATCTAAAATACAGATAAAAATAACATCTGTTAGATTAAACGTTACTTAATTTACAGTGTAGCTTTAAAAGAAACTCCTGATATTACAGATCTTTGATTTAATAGAGCTGTAGACACAGCTGATATGATCAGTAAGAGTAAAATTTTATAATGAAAAAGAACACTTGAAATAATGACAGCTATTTTGGGATACTTTACAACAAAGAGGGCTTATCCTCTTAAAGCTGATCTCAAAGCACATTGTTTGTCTTATGACCAACAAATTAAGAAGTTTCTTCATTTACTAGAAGTTAAGTCAGGCATGTCAACTGATGAAATAACATGTTTTATATCTGAACAGATGTATTTAAATGTCTTAATTATTTCCCCCCTTTTGATTATTTAATTATAACTCCTTCATCTATTTGTTTTTAGGGTGTTTAAATTACCCACATCTAGGAACTGACAATCTTCTAATGTTAAATGGTAAGATTTAATCTTTTATTCATCTTAATTATCTGGTATCCAATTGAATTGGACATTTTGTTTTAAAAATATACAGTTGCATTCTGTATCAATACGCAAAGGACAACTTTCTTCAGAGAACCACAGCCACCTCCAATTTAAAGCAGTAACATCATAGCTCTATCGCTTGTTGTACATATGATTACTATCCCAATTTGTCTGTTTTTTTTATAAGTTTCTGATGATGAGAGTAATACAGGCTAGAATAGATATATAACAAGTTGGGTTTGACCAATAAAATCTAGTATAGATTTTTTTGCGTCATGCCCCTGAAACTATGGGAAAAGTAGATACAGTAGTCCAGAGGTTTCCAACCTTTCTCAGTTGGCGGACCGAAGGGAAAGGGGGAGAGAAGCATTTTACATGCTTGCACATGCACACAAACGGGGCCGCGAGCACGTGGGATGCATGCTCGCACCCATGTGACACTCGCTAGTACTGTGCTGATTTTGCTGTGGGCGCTAGCACTGTCCCATTTTCATGCTGTGCGGCGCCCGGATTTCGCACCACACACCTCCTGGTTTGCCTGTTTTCACACCACGCAACACCCGGTTTTTGTGCCATGCACTGCCTGTTTCCACACTGTGCCACCTGGTTTCCCCCCCGTTTTCGTGCTGTGCGCTGCCCAGTTTTCACGCCATGCACCACCCTGTTTGCATAGCGGTGATGCCCTGTTTTCGCCGCGCAGTGTCCTGTTTGCATAGCGGTGGTGGTGCTAGGATGAGTGGGGGTGAGTGTGCGCACACATGTATGTGCACTGGCCATTGTGTTCCGTGGCCCGGTGGCCAGTAGGCCACAGCCTGGTAGTGGGCTGCGGATCACAGGTTGGGGACTTCTGCAATAGTCCTTGACTTACAATCATTTGTTTAAAGACTGTTTGAAGTTACAGCAGTGCTGAAAATTTGACCTACAGCCAGTCCTCATACTTAGAACCATTGCATCATTCCTGCAGTTATGTGATTGTGTGTTGGGCGCTTGTCAACTGTTGAGCGTTTACAATAGTTGCAGTGTTCTGTGGTCATGTGGTTACCATTTGCAACCTTCTCACCAATGAGCCTCTGGCTACTGCTGGGGAGGTCCACTACTGAAGGGATTTTAGGGTTTGAAATGGAACCCTTACCCTCTGGTTGGAGGAGCTGGTGCCCAGCCTCTGAAATGGGAGCAAAAACCATTGCAGGTTCCTGGAGTGTAGTCTGGCCCATGGCACTATCGCCATGCAAGAAACCATCTTCCCTAACTATTGGGAAAGGATGGCCAGTGTAATTACACGGTCCCTTTGGACCCGGAGGACCAGGGCTCGGATACTGTCCTGGTGCTCCTGCAATGGATAGGCCTTGCAGTGTCTTGTGTCTATGATCGCGCCCAGGTGAAGGAGCGGGTTGAGGGAACTGTCTGGCTCTTTTGGAAATTCACTGAGAACCCGTGGTCTTGGAGCGTCTTGATGGACAAGGCCAGGTCCGCCTGAGCCGCCCGAATAGAGGGGAACTAGATGAGGATGTTGTACCGAGAGTAGCCTCAGATGAGTGGCCAGTGCTGCCAAGATCTTTGTAAATACTCTTGGAGCTGATGAGAGACCAAACGGTAGGGCTTTGTATTGATAGTGGTGGTTTGTGTAACAGAACCTGAGAAACTTCCGATGGCCGGGAAGGATGGGAATATGCAGGTATGCTTCCGTGAGGTCGATAGACGTCAAGAAGTCGTCCCTTCTGATGCTGGCCAGAATAGACTGGAGCGTTTGCGTTTTGAATTTTTTGTAGGCAAGATGAGAGTTCAGCCCCTTTAGGTCGAGTATTGCCCTCCATCCTCCCAAGGCCTTTGGAACAACAAAGAGGATGGAGTAGAACCCCCTTCCCAGTTGTTCAACCAGTACTGGTTCTGTGGCCCTTATCTCCAAAAGGTGTCGAATGGCCTCGCTCATGAGGCCCTTCTTGATCAGATTTTTTGACATTGAACAAGAAATGAAACGTTCTGGAGGGTTGGATAAAAATTCCAGGGACAGGCCACACCTGATGGTGTTGAAAACCCAGATGTCTGTGGTGGTGGCCTCCCATTTGTGAGCAAAGAAAGTCGATCTGCCACCTATGGGGGAGGCCTCCCTGAAGTCACTTGGGTCTTCTGAAGGGACGGCCTCCTGTGACTCGAAAGGGCCGCTTGGCCTGGAATTGCTGCCTGGGTTTGAAAGCAGAACGTTCAAATTGGCGATCTGATCTGGGAGGGAAGGAGCGGGGAGGCTGAGGCAACTCTGATCCTGACCCTGCTCGAAAGGGCTGCCTGCGGGTATACGGGTTAGGCCGTCTGTTTGCCTGTCTGGTAAGGTGGGACATCACCTTACGTTTGTCCTTGTTCTCCACTAGGTAAGTGTTCAGAGCCTCTCCAACAGCTGACCACCATGGTAAGGGGCAGGCGCTAAGCGCCACTTTGATTTTGTGTCTGCTCGCCATTGTTTGAGCCACAGGAGTCTGTGGGCTGTAACGTTTGAAGCTATGGCTCGGGATGAGAATCTGGTGGTGTGTAGTGACGCGTTCGCCATGTATTGGGACGCCGCCACTAACTTACCCAAGTTCTGGTGTGTTTGCACCTCCTCCAGAGGAATTGTGGCCTGAAGCTCGCGAAGCCAGATAAGAGAGGTTCTGGCAAAGAAAGAGGTAGATGTAGCCGCCTTTACTGCCCATGCCGAGGCCTGGTGAGTCCTGCGGAAAGAGAGCTCAGATTTTCTGTCCTCCGCCTTCAAGGTTTCAGCCATGTCCCCTGACACCGTGAAAGAGGAAAACAGTGGCGTTAGAGGTTCATCTATAACCAGGACCTACAGCAGTTCTGACAAGGCAGGGGCGACATTAAATAGCCTCTTGTCTGTTCCCCCCCAGTGTGGAGAGGGTGCCAGGTGTTCCCCACTGCTTTTGAATAGTATTAAGAAAGAAAGGAGGACAGGGGATGTGCCTTTGTGTAACAATAGGTTCAGAGAACAGCGAATTTGTGTCTTGGCTGGTGGATGGACCCAGTTGAGGCTCCTTATCAGAGCCAATCTTGGCAGAGGTACTTGCCTTGTGGAGCAGTGATTTGAATAACGCTGGGTCAAATAGGCCCACAAAGGGAGGAGGGTCTGAAGAAGGTTCCTCATCCTCCAATAACTATATGCCTGTTGGTCCGTACTCCTTGGAGTGTGACTCTCTGCCTTGAGAGGATCAGGCGGAAGAAATAGAACCTCGATATTCTGGGGCTCCCGCCTGGGAGAAATAAGATGGGGTCATTGACGCCAAAGATTCCTGTCTGGACCTCTGGTGGAGTGAGGAGGCCATACCTTGGGCAACCGCCTGGGCGATTAGGGCCTGTAGTTGTTCTGGCCATGCCCCTTGAGAGTCTGTGGGTCGAAGCCCAGCTGCTGTGGGCGTGAATGTAGCTTCTGGCCCCGGCTGAACCCTGGGTGGGGGAGGAATCCATTGAGGGTGTGGTCCCTGATTGAGGGGAATCATTTCCTCCTGTCCGGGTCTGGGAAAAAGGAATTGGCCAGCGTCCCCTTCTGGAGACCAGGCCCGTTGGACAATTGAACTGGAGGGGGTGAGTTGTGGCCCAAAAACTGAATCCTCAGCTGGAACCGGGGAGGCATGGCCTGTTCCCCTTACGCTCAGTTTCTGAGCTTTGGAAAACTGCTTTTCCAAGGCCTAGTGTCTCCTGCTGGCCTTCTTCTCAGCTGTCTTACAGGGCTTCTTGCCCAAAATGGCCTTGGCCTTGAGTTTTCCTGCAGCCTCCAGTTTGGAGGCCTTGTGGTTTTTTGGACGGGAGTGTCGGAGGCACCATGAGCGGTCTGAGGTGTCATGTTGTCTGCCATTGCAATGGAGATATCTCAGTGGTGTTCTGAGAGGGATCTCAAGGTAGAGGAGCAGAGTATTGATTTGTGACTGTGTGTCACCATGCTGGAACCAGCAGTACTCTAGGTAATGGTGGCTGCAGGACCAATTTAATGGACTCTTGCACACCCACAACGCTCCTGATGGCCTTAACACCAGTTAATGCACCTTCAGTGCACTGGTCAAGGCTTACTGTGGCGGCAGAACCAACAGGTGGTGACAGCCAGCACACACGTAACTCACTTAGTGGTGGCAAGATCACCTCAGTGATAACGGGGGGCGCACTAGGCCTAGTTGGTGGTGGCAAGGCCAAGAGGCATGGCCAGCACACTTTGCTGTTGCGATAAGTAGAGAAGCACCCTGTTGAGGCCTGGGGCTGTATGTGTTACCTCCTGTGAATGACCATCCATTGTGAGCAACTTGGACTCGTGCTTCTTTGTCCAGAAATTGAAGATATTGAATATCTTTAAATGTGTATAAACAGTATTATAAAGGCCTGATCTCAATAAGCTGTGAGTACTGCACAGCCTGAAGGCTGTTACCACAGAAGGCCTCAGGTCCCAATTCCCTATGCAGTGGCTGGGAACAGTCACAGGGGAAGAACCCCCCCCCGCTGTTGCTTATTTTATTTTATTTTATTTTATTTTTTGCTCTATGGCCCTTGTGGCAATCCTGTTTCAAGCTCCTGTCTGATAACTAAGATTCCGATGCAAGGTTTGATCCTGTCTGTCTCTCTCCCTTCAGATTCAAATGAATGTTAGCGATGCCTAAAATGGCAGCTGCTACATAAAATCGCCTCAGGAGAATGAACGCTGATCAGGAGAACCAGGAGCAATAAAGGAATGCACCCCTTTTGCCAGTTAGTTTCTGACTGAAGGCAGCAATCTGGGCCGTTAGGTGTTGCAAGCGGCAGCTGGGAGGACACTAAAAGGATTTTTAGGAAAAAACGGCTCCTCATGCGCTTTTCAAAATGGCGTCCACGACGAGGGTGCTGAAGAACAGGACGGTTGCCAGGGGCTTTCCTGAGCCTGCAGCCCAGTCTGCAAGGCCGATAAACTGGATGCGCGCTGCGCTGGTCCCAGCAACTGAAAAAATAAAGGGAATCTTGATTTCAGC